GAAAATTCCACTTCCTGTAACTATGACCAAAGAGTCACGACAGTGCCACAAATCGTCAGATTGACGTGAAACCCGTAACGCGAGAACAGGGCAAGGCGACAACTGCTGTTACACCTGATTTATTGCTGTTTTGATTACGAATAAAAGACTTCTTGCTTGTTACACTGTGTCACCTCATTCAAATTGTGCCCTAACATTTGTCGTCTCTTAGTATATTTCTAATCTAGTCATCTTGTTTTTTAGGGCCCTTCTTGTTTTTTTTTCGCCCTCTCGCATTAGATTTAGGGTCTCCAAAGGACGTCATCCATAAAATTTACTTGGTGTGGCCTAAGATAGATTCGTCGACCGGTCATTTACAACAGAGGTCTGTAGGCAACCATTTAATGCCCAAGGGTTGATTATTTATAAGCTTCTATAAATTCTAAGGCCCTGGGCGCGCTCATTTATCACACGGCAGTGGTCCATTACACGGTATGATTCTCTTTATATATATCTATATAAAAATTGATTTATATTGATATATATATATATAAAGAGAGGGAGAGATACGTCAAAAAGCAGATACTCAAGCAACTGGGGAAAATAGCTGAGGAGTAGCCGTTGGCACTAGGTCGGCAATGTTCTTTGTATCTTACTTTGAGCGGTCGACTTGTCTCTCCGATGTAGGTGTTGTTACAATTGGGCTCCTCACATTTGAGTCTGTAAAAAATAATAGGCTTGGTACCTTTGTGAGGTCGGTCCTTAGGGTGTACCAGCCTTTGTCTGAGGGTTGAGTGAGGTTTGAAGTTAGTGGCTATGTTGAAGTTTTGGAAGATCCGTCGGAGTTTCTCAGATACTACTTGGACATACGGAATAGTGATGTTGACCTTGTTTTTGTTGGTCAATGGTTTACACTTCTGGGTTTTCTTAGACTGATCTGAAGGTTTGAGCGCTTTGTTGAAAGTCCAGTTCTGGTAGCCCCATTTAGCCAGGGCACCTCGGAGGTGTTAAAGAGGCAATATATGAAAGAATATACAACCCCACCCTCAACAGGGAAGGGGGGCTACGGGTCGATCTTTCCGGCACTTGGGATTTGGCACTCCCAGCCCCGAGGACAGACAACACTTAAACTCAGGACTGTTCTGTATAACAGGAGCTTTCAGACTAATTTGCATCATCTTGTCTTGACTCGACTTCCAAAAATTTGTCTTCTCTTCATTTGCATATCAATCAATAGGTTGTGCTTATAAACCTGTTTTCCCCTCTGGTCTCTCAGTCACTGACGAAAGCTAGTGGATACTAGCTGAAACGTCTGACGTTTTCAAAGTCATATCCAGTTGCTTGAGTAACTGCTTTTTGGCGTATCGTATTACCTAGATGTCTAACCTTCATCGACGTAGATAGAGAGATACATATATATCTGTATTTGAATATCACATTTCAAGCAAAGAAACGTCTCGTAAACTAACTTAATAAGGATATGAGTTGACACGCGGTATTTTGAAACCTTGTGCAGATACAAGGCGATCGTGTTCCCGACAGAGACCAGGATGTCGCTCAGGACCATGAAGAAGCTGCTGGTTGCCGTCTGGTTCTTCGCAGTCGTCATCATGATTCCACAAGTCTTCAACATCCACCTGTTGCGTTATCACAACGGTCCCTATCAGCACGACTTCTGCTTGGAGATCTGGCCAGACAGACTGTTTCATAAGATCTATACGGCCCTGTTGATGAGTCTTGTGTACATCGGCCCCCTTGTGTTTGTGTCGTATCTGTATGGCCGTGTTGTTCACCGCATATGGTACAGACCAAACCCCAGTAATGACCACGCTGTGGCCACAGGCCCCAACCACCGGGTACGCCAGGAAGAGTTTGTTGGAGCAGTCCCAAAGCGAAGAGTTCGCGTGATCAAAATGTTGATCTTAGTCGTTGTCCTGTTCACGTTGTCGTGGCTCCCTCTGTACACTCTCTGGATCTTGCACGACTTCGTAGACCTGCCCGAGAGCGTCCGAAAATTCATTGATAGTTATATCTTCCCGGCTGCTCACTGGTTGGCGTATTCTAACGGCTGCGTGAATCCACTGGTGTATGGGTTCTATAACTCTAACATCCGACAGAAAATATTGTCCATATTCTCCCGTGACAACAAGAAAGACTGTGTCATGAAAATGAAAAAGGAACCAGATGAAGCCCAACCAATGTCTGAACGAAAGCGAGAAAGAAGGATGAGCAATAGAAGAGTCACCATCGTCCATGAAACAGCCCTATAAATACAAAGACGATGGCGACTTTTTTCTCTCTTCTGATTGATCAAATGCACACATGCATGCACACACGAGCATGCATGGAAGCACACACACATACATGGAGACTTACACATACGCACGCACGCACACTTACATACATGCATGCATACATGCACGCACACACACATGCAAGAACACACACATGCATGCAACCGCACACACATACAGGAACACATGTACACACACGCTCACACGCACATGCACACAAACATACATGCACACAGACACACACATACACATACAAATACATGTAAACACACACACACACACACACACACACACACACACACACACACACACACACACATACAAACTTTTGTCACTCCAAACTCTACAAAAAAAAAGAAACACCGTAGAAAAGTCCAATCGACAAGTAGCAAAAAGGGCTGTTTGGTGGACCTTGTGGCAGAAGCTATTTTCCCGGTCTGACACAATTCCGTGAAAAAGACGCCGTTGCTTTTCATTGTTTAGAAAATTAAAAAAAAAAATCTGCTCCCTTGTACAGGATATTAGATTTCTGGCGTTAAGATTGAGGAACTAAAGAGTAAACTAGAGAGCACGAAATATTTGCTTCATTAACGAAAGGAATTAATTGATAATGAGATTTGTGTAGGAAAGAATCGCTTAACGCCCAGCCATGGCACCAAAATGTTGTGCAACAGTCGTCAATGAAATGTACCAGTGCTATTAACATGTCAGTGTGACGTATGTTCGACATTATCTTTAATGTGACCGTTATTTCTGCTGCACATTGGCCCGTGACATTGTGAACGGCAAGCTCTGTAAGGTCACAGCAAGTTAATTTTATGGATGACATCCTCCACAGACTCCAACTCTAATGCGAGCAGGCGAAAAAAAACAAGGCGGGCCTGAAAAAAACAAGGTTCCTTCGTATATGTTGAAAATGTTGACTCAATCATGGTACGAATGGTTTTAATTCAGTGGGAACATCACATATACACAGTCAGCATCACATATCACTGCATCAAAGTAAGAAACAAAACATTAAATCAGAGCCTTGTCTTGTCTCCTCTCTTTATAGTTATCTGCCATCCAGATTCCGGCATGGCAACAGACATCTTTGCTCATTTTCGGCATGGTGACAGAAGGCAACAAAATTTCTTGTTTTTTTTTTTCAAAATCAGGCGAAAATTAATGCGCGCGCTGATGCCATCCATAGAAATTACTTGCTGTGGCCTAATGTAGTGATTCTGATGGTTTTTTATGTGGCTGTACTGCTGAGAACAATCCAGCTCTCTAAATAACAATGAAAACTTTATAAAAACTCTACACTTAGCCATGGAACACTGCACAGCTTTTAAGTAAGATACAATGTACATACTAGATACATTTTACACGGGCTGATATTCCTATGCACCGGCACGATGTTATGTAGGAATAAATATATGTGTGCGTGTTTAGTCATGTACCGGCGTGTCTGCATGTAAATGAGATCAGCAAAACGCCGTGTGGGAAATAGATATCTGTTTTTGATCCCGTGTACCTTATGTAGACTTAATTACGGAAACAGATTTCGAGCGAGGGACCGCATACGTAATGCGTAACTGAGTAACGATGCATGTAGAAGCGTACAAATTCATGCAGCCTTATATGTAACGGGTCGATTACGTGTAATGTTGGACACTTTATCATATACTTGTATAGAAAATCATGGCGAATATTACAACCTATATATCGTTGAAAATCATAGGCTAATTTCCCAGCTTTATGCATCTCTTGTGGATAATTTTCATTACTTTTTGTTATCCTGCAAATTTTTGAACGGTTATTTAGTGAAAACATTTAGGCAAGTTGACAATCCTTATAGGCTGATGTATTTTTAACAATGATGTTATGAAGAAATGTAATCACCATCTTGGCTTGTTTCAGCGATAAACCGATTAGTCCAATTTTCAGAATATATAGTATTCATAAAGAGTGACGTTATGTGTGATTTTTAAAACGATTGTGTTAAAGAAAAGGTCATAGTCTTTGCGTTGCGATCGCTATATATCCCCTACGTAATCAATATCTGGTATATAATTGTTTATATCGTTTTCCGCTGTAAAATGAGTAAAAAAATGCGTAGTTGTCAGACTTGTATTGAGGCTAATTTTATGTAATAAATGTATGTATGAATCGTACCATCAGTGCTGTTTGTTATTTTGAATCCGGTTGAAGACCTAGTTTACAGACATACGGGAAGTTGAATATCATATTATATTGGGTTTAGGACTGTAATGCCACACCAATTTAATTTGTTGCTTCTAGGATCTCCCTGTCTTTTTTTTTCTGAGTTGGGGGAGGGGGGGGTCTAAATTAACTGCAAAATGCTCAATGAAAGACCCAACGGTTGAAGTAAGTCCTGTTCTTCCTAGTTCATCAAGTTTTTCAATTTAACAATGCAATTTTGTTTCATCATAAGTTCAAAATCTATTGTTTTAATTATGAACCAGCCTGGTATGTTGACTTCATGGCTCATATTGTAACATTTCCGGCTATCACCGGGTGCCTTGGCCTGTTTTTTTTTTAAATTTTATTTCGCCCTGTCGCTTCATATTTTTTCTGAAAAAATCCGAGAAACAACAAATTAATTTGGTATGGCCTCAATAGATGTTATACTTATGGTTCATCATGTCCGTATGGGCTAGTCAGAAGGAAATAATCCCTATTCTTCAAACTACATTGTGAAGAGACGGATGATTTGATTTCATCAATCTGCAGAAAGCAGTCAAGATAATTTACATGTGCCAAATACTGCAAGAAATATTCCTCAAGGTCCCCTTGACTTGATAGATTTTCTTGTGGTAAACGGGAAGTTGCTCTCCAAACTAGCTCGGAAATTGGCTAAAAGTATTCATCTATCATCCCTAACCAAAACCACACGCACAGGGCATACAGTTTTAGTTTTATCTTAGGCATCCAATGCGATTTCAGGGCAGCAAAGCTGGAAATATTCTGAACAAGGCGATCTTTATGATATTTACTCATACTGCTTCACATTAGCACATTTTAGTTGGTATTTCAACCTTTGGGTGTTTAAAACTGCAGAAACAAGCCCCAAGATGAGTCCTTTATTTCATGGGTGGTACCCTAAAAATCAGCCAACGGCCCTTCCAATAACAATTTCTTGTCAGAATTTTGGGTATTTTCGCTCCATGAGGGTCAATATACATTGGGACAGTGTGGTTTCAACTCAGTATGTAGATAAATGACTAGAATATTGACTTTAAAAAAAATCAGGTTTTCAAGTCTTAAAATCCGCACTGGGTGCCTTTAACTAAATCTGACACGTATTCATCCAGTCCTATTTCTAATCATGAACAGCTTTACAGCTTTTATAAATGTGACCAGGGATCGAAAAATCGATAGAATGTCTTGTAACGGAAGGTAACGAAATGATGTGTAGTTATCAATCAACTGTAATCTCTACCGGCAATCGTTCAAAGGTTACCTTTAAGCTGAAGTGTCAGAGTATCAATAAAGGCTTAATGACAGAATCTCCTAATCCCAGATCTAAAGGGCAAGCCGGATTAGGATATCACAGGGTACAGTTGTTGGTGATAATCGGATTTAATATAGATAAGGCCATGTTGATTTGATTAGGCCACACTGATTTAATTTTATGAATGACATCCTCTGAAGACCCCCAAACTAGTGCGCGCGGGCGAATAAAAAACATTCCAGCCGAAATTAAAAATGCTACTAAGCCACAGGAATACAAAGCTGGTATTGTAAATTCGCGGCAGTACTTAGCGACGTAATACGACAAGACGGCACATGCTGGCTTTTTGCGGAATTTATGAATCGGTACTGAGTTCTTGAGTCGTGGAGCTTCGATAGCCTGGGTGCTCGGCTCCGTATTGTCGCTAACTACCCAGGCCTAGAGCCAGGCCAGAGCCTCGGTGGACGTGATCTTTTTTTTT